ACTACTCTGCTTGGGCTTATTTAGAACTGTCTTTTTCCGAAGCCTGTTTTTATGGCTGTTTTTTTGTTTTGCATTCTGGGGTTATAACCCACATCTTTATTTATGATGAGACAGAGAGTTATTACATAGGCTGATCTACCTACTTGGGTGGCAGTTTTTTCATTGTTATATGGGTGGAGGTTGGCCCTTTTCAGCACTGTAGAGCCAACCAGATCACTTTCACTTAATAGCAAAATGCAAGAAATGACACCAAGATCATAGATCTTGGTATAACCACTTGCTTCCGGGTTACATAAATTATATATATACAGTTGTGCTCAAAAGTTTGCAAACCCTGGTAGAAATTGTGATAATTTGGCATTGATATTGAAAATATAACTGATCATGCTAAAAAATGCTCTTTTATTGAAGGATGATGATCATATGAAGCCATTTATTATCAAATAGTCGTTTGGCTCCTTTTTCATAATGATAACAGAAATCACCCAAAATGTCCGTGATCTAAAGTTTACATACCCTGGAATGTTTGGCCTTAGTACAGACACACAAGGGTTAAAATGCCAATTAGAGGTTAATGTCCCACATCTGTGGCTTTTTAAATTGCATTAGTGTCAGTGTATAAATTGTCAATGAGTTTGTTAGGCTCTTACGTGAAAGCACTGACTAGACTAGATACTGAGCCATGGGGATCAGAAAAGAACTGTCAAAAGTCCTGCGTAACAAGGTAGTGGAGCTTTATAACGATGGAAAAGGACACATTATTTGAATGGAGTACACAAAGGGTTGAAATTTCTGTCAAGCTTTTATTTCTATATATGACCCCCACTAGGGAGATTCTCCAATCATTTCCTGTTCCTCTGACACCCATACAAGAATTTTGGGGTGCAGGCATCATTGAGACATGAAGGCACAGAGAGCAGTAAAAAGCATTGATAAAGGTTCTAGCTTTTTCTCACTATACTAAAAATGCATTTCTGTTTTTGTCTGGGTTCCCATTTAAAGGGATTTCTCATCATTTCTTGTCCTGACAGGAAGTAAGAATAAGCCTTTCCAATAAAGACAGAGATTGCTGTAAAAAGCTGACAGTAGCTCCAACCATTCCCTATTCTATGAAAGACTTTATTTAGACTGGGGCTGGGCTGTAAGCCCAGACAGAGTTTACGGGATATAGTAATTAGACTATAAATTAAAGACAGCAGACATGCATTACATGCTTTTTCTACAGTCTCAGTGCTGGTACATAATCTGGATAGTATTTTGAGATACAGTATACAAGAGACTGGCTCAATAACACCTCATACTACACTAACCAGCCTGAGACACATAGGGGTTTATTTACTAAAGCTGGAGAGTCCAAAATCAGACTCCCTTCTGCATAGAAACCAATCAGCTTCTAACCTCAGCTTGTTCAATGAAGCTTTGGCAATGAAACCTGGAAGCTGATTGGTTTCTATGCAGAAGTGAGTCTGATTTTGCACTCTCCAGCTTTAGTAAATAAACCCCATATAGTCTCTCCAGGGACCCTATCTGGAGTCCTAAATAGTCAACCAAATAGGTTTTCTCTGTCTATAAAACATAATTTTCTTCCAAGAAAAATAATGATTGCATGGAGATTGATAAGGAAACTCTTGATTTCTTCTCAAGCAGCAGACTCCAAAATCTTCAAACTGGCATGACATTTGCCTAGGTCACTATATATCTACAGCATGAACAAATTTGATGTTTGCTCATATCTCATCTAACACCACAATCACCAGAGGAACTACACAAAACACTCCAGTTCTCTACACCCATTTCAGAAACATCTTCATGCTTCATACACCACACTCTTTAGAAGAACAGTTAACTTTCCATGTCCCTTATATAAATAATATTCCTAAGTGGGCCATGCTGACCCAACAAACACAAGAAGAGAGTCAGGACAGTATATTGCAAGGCTGGTACTGTCAGAGACAGGAGACGTTGGAAGAATTTGGAAAGAAATTCAATTCAAATTGATCCATATGGCCTGTCAGGCCTTCAATATTCTTCTCAAGTCCCCACTTCCCAACTGACTGGTCTCTTGCCTGAAGTGTTATATGCCAAGTCCCAGCTTTGTTTGCGTTATGTGGTTTTGTTTGAATATAAAGAAAATTTGTTAACAGACACTACAATATATAGACAACGCTACACGCAATACCTAAGTCTTCCAACCAGTGTTATGTTTATTTTAAAGTTACATAAATGGGGAGAAATCTAATAAACCTAATCCACCATGATGGGAACACTGTTGTTTACTGTGTATGAAAAGGCATTATCGCCCAAATTGCTTCTTCTGCAGACCCCTGTAGTAGCAGAGCTAAAAATATATTATCCCAGCATAACCTAGGCTGGACCATAACTTTCTTTAAAATCTGGTCAAGCCATCATGTCAAAGAATTCACAATCGACCCATAAGGGATGCTGTAACTATTTTTTTACATATTACTTGGTACAGAATGGCCAAATTATAGCACACTCTGGGTATTTTAGATGTGCTGTAACCTCTATTTTATTATGCGTGTTGGTAGACCTGGAACCTAAATGTATATTAAGGTGTAGATCTATCTGGCACTGTAACCTTACAGTTCTTGTTAGTTAAAGTATAGCTGGTGGTTTTGCTGTTCTTTTTGTTCAATTTTCCATTATAGGAAATTGAATTTCCTAGGTTGTTCCAATCTTTACAGACTCAGACCTACATATTTAATTGCAATGAATTTTGGGCAGCAAATATTGTGACAGAATTTCCTGCTTTGGAAGGTATTTCTTGCTTTCCTGGGTAAACTGGCAAAAAGGCAGTGCAAAATGAATCATAGGGATCCAGATGGTAAAATAACGCATTATGCATCCCAGTTAGGAATGAAGACTTTACAAGGATAAAACAGTATGGTCCTTAAAACTAATCCCACTCTGGTGTGTGTGGATTTTTTCATCCAGGAAACTCAATCTAGATTAATTTTCCACTTCAATTTTAGCTTTTCAAATGCACAATGGATGTCCAGGTTACAGAAGTGACACATGTTGTGGGTGTGTATGTAAAGCAAAAAAATAAGACTCTCAGTCTGTGACCTTGACCCCTCTGTTTTACCCCTAAGGCATCTCCAGCTGACATATCAAACTGCTATGATGATGAATGAACCCAGGAAGAGAAATCAGGTTAATTTCATGTCATCATTTTAGTTTATAAATTATTAATAGAATACATTGGTTTACATCAGTCATTCTTCAATGTCTACGTTATGGAACAATGCATAAATAAATTAATCTGAATAACAAGATACTTTACTTGTGTAAATTCTGATCTCTTGAGAAATTTGGGGTTTGGGAAGAATATTTTACATGGATTTTAGTGGATCATTCAACGAAAATAAAAATATTATGCATAAAAAATTCACACATTTTGCATTTGTCGTAGTTTATACACCAAATTCACAGATACAGATTTGCACGTTAGTGGATTGTTCTCTCTAAGACTATACAAAAATTGCACAGACTGGTAATAACAAGATCTGTTAAAAAGCTAAGCTGTCACGCTATCACAACTGTACCAAGGGGGGGGGGAGTTTTTGCAGCCCTAGACCAGTATTTCTGGATTTTATTAAGGGCTTATGTCAATGGACATTAGATTGCATCAGAGCAGCTTCGACTTGTACATTTTTGGATATACAATGATATCAACATCTGCTTCTTGTGATCTTTTTATTGGTCTATCCCAAATAAATGGGTTGGGATGAATATAAAATGCTAATGTCCAGAGTCTACTGGGTACTGCATCACCATGACAACAGGTCACTCTCTTCTCTGCTTTTGCTATTACAAATGTACTGTAAAGATTTTAGACTACAGACACCAAGGCTTAAACTGCTAAGTAAGCAATGGCATATTTAGCATAACATATACTGTAGGTCTTTGAATGCAATATTTTGACAAAATGTATTATCCTATTAACAGGTCATATATTTCCAGACATGTCATATTGTAACATTTTAAAAGAATCACCTATCATTCTATGAGTAGGAGAAAGCCTATAACATTAACCTGTATGTCAAGCCAAATTATTTTATTTTAGTTTTGGATAGATTCTGGGAGGATTAGAACCTCTGACTGGTTTTCCTCCTATGCAGGGCTTTGTTAGGGAGATTTCACCAAGCAGGAAGTGGAGAAAAATCTTCAGCAGGGATACAGAGAGCAATAGAAAACCTTCCCGTAGTGTTAATCCCACTTTTATTTTTTTCAGTGTTGCTGTTGGGAATTTTCTCTTCTCTCTTTTAAGACTTCCTGTCTGGTAAAACCATTGTCATTGGGAGAGTGAGTAAGGGAAAGTCTCTGAAATGGAGCCCAGTATAGCAGTAGGACCTGGTAAAGATATTAACCCTTCCACACTCTATTAAAAAATAAGCTTTGACAGGACAAAAACTTTAAACTGGAAGCTTCAGAAAAACTACTAAATACATGGTTGAAGAGTAGGCTTTTACCTTCTACAAACATCAGTAATTCTGCATAGCCAGGCTTATGATCCTAGCCTCCCTTATCAGACAGCACAGCCAGTAAAGCCAGTCATACATGGATCAGAATTTGACCAGTTGAGCAGGTACAGTCCAAATTTCGATCCATTTACGGGCTAGCTGGTTGTACGCAAGTTGATCGATCGAATTGTGTAAAACAAGCCCGTCTGTTTTTCCCGAATGGTAAGTGCACCTATACCTGGCAACACTAATCATTGTATTCTGCCAGAGGGGAAGGCTCTCTGCCAGCAGAGTACAATAGCACAGTGAAAAGGATTCCCCCATCCACATCAAATGTGTAGATGAGGGAATCAGCTCATTTTTTTTTTTCATTCAATCTGCTGAAATTCAGCTTTGAATGACACTCAAGAACAGTTTTTGGAAACAAGGAAACAATCCTTCAGTACTGCAAAGTCATTCAGCCATAGAATTTAGATTTATATTCCGATAAACACAGATTTTAATTAAAGACTATACCTTCTATTGTCTTTTTCGTTTTTATTTTTTCTTCAGACATTTCATTTGTTTCAATCATCTGCAAGAGAAAATATATAAAAGAATGAATTTCAAAATTAGAATGCCAGCGTAACATCTTCCTGATTGCTTTAATAATTCATGATATTGCCAGTTTTTGTTCAGTTAATACCTGAAGCTACTACCTGAAGCTACTGAGTACAAAATAGGTTCAATCAGCAAATACTATTCACATGTTTTCACAAAATCATAGCTCTGAGTGATGGAAACATTAGAGTAACAAAACACTTTTAAACAATAGAGGGATTATGCTCTCAATAAGAGTTCTTGAAGATTCAGCAGTTTTCTCTACAGCTAAAGTAGGTTGTGTTTTTGCTGATCCTGCCAGCATCTAGATTATTGATACAATATGCACTTAAATAATGTTATAAATCTGGTATCAGTAAAAAGTGGTCCAGACCCTGACCGAGTGATAGTTTTATCCAGACCGTCAGCCAGCCAGTCCCCAACTTAGCGTCCCCCCCCCCACTCCTCTGTAGTGATTGGTTGTTAGGAGCGCCTAACAGCCATTGACTTCACATTAGGGCCTCCCTTTATCATCACCGGAAGGCAAAAGCAGACCTTCCTGTGTCCAAACCTGCAGTCTGCATCACCTCCTGGCTCCCACCCTCTGTCTGTCTGGCACTAAAATGTACTGGGGCCCTCTCATGGGGACACCTGATGTAAGGGGACACATTGATGATGTCACCTGATGTAAGGGGGCACACTGAAAATTAACAATATCTATATTATTGAAATGCTATGGAAATTCTACAATTCTTATTTTTTTTATAGACATAATGGGGGTTACTTACTATAACTTCAAGGTGCAAAATCTGGTGAAGCTCTGCAGAGAAACCAATCAGCTTCCAGGTTTTATTGTCAAAGCTTAATTGAACAAACTTAAGTTAGCAGCTGGTTGGATACCATGCACAGCTGCACCAGATTCTGAGTGCTCCAGTTTAGTAAATCTTTCTCACAATGTCTACGTATACTCTATTAAAGCCATAGCAAAAACATGAGATTTGGACCCCTGCTGGAAGAAAATTTTACTTACTGGCCTCCATGAATTTTAATTTAATACTCCTGCTACAGATCAAAGTAAGCATATATGGAGTAAAAGTAGAGCCATTGCCAAAACCAAAGATATGTTTGCTTTATCTGAAATATAACATCTGATTGCAGTTGGTAACAGGAGAATTTATGCTCCAATTCTATTTGCTTTGAATTTATTATATTAGCCAAGCTGTACATAAAGAGACCTTTATGTCAGATGTCAAAAAAGTCCAGTGTCAGTTTATTCTTGTTAAAACAGAAGCTGAAAATTCATCCAACAAAAAATTATTTCACAAGGCACTGCTTCACATGATAGATTATACACATATTTTCAGGCACTCCTAAAAGATTTTTTCCAGCAGTCACTAAACACTTTCAAAGCCCACAAATGTTTGTTTAACGATGATGCTACCTTATTATTACTAGCAAGATATGAATTTGCTGTATTTGCTCTATTGTATTAAAAATTATAGACAAGTTGTTTTTTTTATTGAAATAACTTTGTTGGCAATAACCATTAATCAGATTCTCCCTCTTAGGGCTCATTCACACCTCTACCTGAAAGCTCATTTATAGCACATTTTCATGTGCATTATCAAATTGTATGCAAGTTGCCATTCATTTTGAATGGCCCTACAATGCACATATATACAGTAAAAACATGCACACATTGCTATTGCCCACCAAAACGCAATGATGTAATTGCTCTGTGTGTTGTGGTGTGCTGTGTTGTCAAAAACAGTGCAGATACTTTTCTTTAATTCATTAATTAATTAACTACCCATTTAAAGTGAACTTAATGCCTTAACACAACACATGTTAATGCACATGGCGAGATGTGAATGAATTCTGAATGCGTTTGATGATTTTTCACTATATGGCTGCTTTCACACTGATCCATTTTTCTTCCACTTTTGCATTAAAAAAAGTGGACAACCAACGTGTGACCATTTATTCTTATGGAACTCTTCACACTGATCTGTTGCAGCTCGGGTGTTTTTTTTTTAAAAAATCCTGCTTGCTGCGTTTTTGGTGCAGAAAAAAAATGCACCTCCCCATTGAAATCAATGGAAAACGTGGCAAAAAATTTTCAACGTACTTGACTATAAAAAAAATTTTTGTGTCATGCATGTCTCTGGGTGCTTATGGTGGTAACTGTCTACAAAGATTGTCAAACATACCCAGAAGTGATAGATTAAAAAAGTAACAAATATATCTTACATTAGCATTTTGTGAAGAATGAATAGCCTCCATTGATTGTAGTTTGTTTTCTGTAACAAGTATTTTCTCCTGTAATCTTTGAATCTCTTGCTTGTTTCTTGTGTCTGTTTTCTGAAGCATGTCATAGTCCTGCATTTTGTTTTCGGCAACAGAAATCTGCTCCTTAAGGTAAGCTATGGCTTGTGTCTGATCGTTGTACCCTGCATGAAGCTTCTCTAGCTCACATACTCGTTGTTCTCCTTCTCGGTATTTGTCTTTAATGTCCTGGAGCTCTTTGAGGTGTTGGTTGGTTTTTGCTTCTAATTGTGATCTCCAGTTGTTATTTACTTCCTCTACTTCATCTTTAACCTCTTGGAGTTTGATTTTCAGGCTCTCCCTTTCCTTGACATGGACTGCAATTTCTATCTCATTTTTAGCCTTCAGGTTTTCATGTTCCAGTTGATGCTCCATTTTAAGGCTTTCAAGGCTGGCTTTAAGCTCCACTATTTCTTTATGTTGTGAGTCTGGGCTGGTAACCAGAGAACCTTTTAGGTCCTCCAATGATTTCTGATGATCAGAAACTAAGCTGTCCAATTTAGATTTCCAACTGTCCATCATGCCTATGTTTTCCTTTGTGGCCTGTTCCAGTTTTTTCTTCAACTCTCCAATTTCCTGGACATACTTCTCATTTGAGGTCTTCAATTTCTCAATCTCTTGTTGGTATCTTTTTATATTCTTTTCATACTTGTCTCTCTGCTGGCTACTCTCTTTTTGGTGCTCTTTACTAGCAGACAGAAGCTGATCTCGTAGCCGCAAAGCCTCGGTTTGCAGTCCAATATTATGTTCAGGTGTCTCTGACTGACCGGAGTTCATTAAACAGTTTTGGAGGTCTTCAATCTCATTGCGACGAAGGCTCAGTTCCTCTTCCAGCTGCTGAATTCTGGTTTGCTCTGCTACTGTTGTTAACTGTATAAAGGATAAAAAGCACACATGAATATCACATTATTAGTGCAACAAGTAATCTGAATGCTAAACAATGACATTATTGTTATCTATTTTAGTGAATTATTTTACACCAAGGCATCATGTTTTAGTCACTTGCGACATTGACATATTTTAATTTGTATTTCTCCATTACTCTATACAGATTAACCTTCAGCAATAGAACTTTCAAGATATCTTATATGCCGTGGTATAAAAAAAAAAACAAATTGGGAATGACATATGGATGTGTGTTAGATGCTCTTTGTTAGTCAGTATCAGTAAACTGTCAACAACCAACTGGTATTGCTCTTGCGTAATGTTGATCGTGTGCTGGACAAGACGTAACTCCCAAGTGTTATTTTTTCATATGAGAGTGCTCCTTTTCATCTATACAGAGTTCAATGCTCTGATTAATAATCTCTGATATTATTAAAAAGAACAGTACACCAAAACCTGACACTTTGTTTTGGACAGATGTCACCAAGGTGAATAGGCCAACAGCTTTTTATTCATCTTGGGAACCTAGCAGAATGGTTGCTGCACCTGACGTCTGAGCTATACCCTGCTGCCATAATGAGGTGATCTCATACTCCTGTTTTATAGGAAGTGCCTCGAGGTCACTACTCTGGCAGCTACTCAAAGAAAGAATCTCTGGTGGTTAGTCCTTGACACTGGAATCCCTGGGATAAACAAAAGAAAAAAAACTGTGCGTTATTGAGCCAATCAGTGTGTCCATAAATGCCAGTTTCAATTGGCCTGACCCTTAAAATTTCCATTTTTCTATTCTAGAGCATTCTATACTCCACATGATTCAAATGTCCATCCAAAATATCCATTTATTCATGTAATGCATGTGGTTGAACTGGATGGACTGGTGTCTTTATTCAACCTTACTAACTACCGTATTTGCCGGCGTATAAGACGACTTTTTGACCCTTGAAAATCTTCTCAAAAGTTGGGGGTCGTCTTATACGCCGGTACACATGTTAGGGGGGCTGCGGCATTAAGTACAGGGGTTTGCAGGGGCTGACGTCTCTTACCTGGATCCAGTCCCACGACGATCCGGTCCAGGAAGCGCGGCGTCTTCAGTTCGGCCACTGGATGTTTGCGGCTGCGCGGCTCCGCCTCCTTGATTTTTCAGGAAAGGCACACAGGCGGCCAATCACCGGCGAGGGGGCGGAAGTCGAAAATAGAGTTGAGCAGCAGTAAGTGCTCTGTGTTGCTGCAAAACATATGCTGGCTGCAGCAGCACCATAAGAAACAGGGTCAGCAAAGTCTGTGGGAGGAATAGTGCCCCATCATTGGTGTCACTGATACCAATGATGGGGCACTATTCCTCCCACTGATACCAACGATGGGGCCACTATTCCTCCCACTGACACCAACGATGGGGCACTATTCCTCACCCCCAAGACCAACGATGGGGCACTATTCCCCCCCCCCACTGACACCAACGATGGGCACTATTCCTCCCCCCACTGACACCAATGATACTATTCCACCCCTCACTTAGATGGCACATACCTTTACTTACTGACACCAATGATGGGGCACTATTCCTGCCACTGATACCAATGATGGGGCACTATTCCTGCCACTGACACCAATGATGGGGCACTATTCCTCCAAATGATACCAATGATGGGGCACCTGATTACTGATATACCAAATGATGGGGCACTATTCCTCCCACTGATGCCAATGATGGGGCACCATTCCTGCCACTGATACCAATGTGGGGCACCTATTCCCCCCACTGATTATGGGGCACTATTCCTAACACTGACAATGATGTGGGCACTATTGTCCTCCCACTGACATCAATGATGGGGCACTATTCCTTGACACCAAAGTGGGGGCCACTGACATCAATGATGGGGGCACTATTCCTGACTGGTGTCATGGAATGGTAGGTTATACGGCGAGGTATAGCCCAAAAACTACATTTTAGCAGGAAAAGTAGGGGTGGTCTTAAACGCCCGAGTCGTCTTATACGCGGCAAATACTGTAACTTTGTAAGTACAACTAGTCTTTAAGCCTTGACATTAGGTTAATTTTTTTTTATTTTGATTCAGAAGTCTTCAAAAGTATTTTGTAAACTTAAAGCAAGCTGTATTTTACAGTAGCGTATCTGCTAAAACTACAAGAGAATGTCACCCTGTGACCACAAAACTACCTTTACAGTTTTTTTAGCATTTACTTTACTTACAAGCTCCAAAATAATGACTTTTTAAAAAATTGATTATAGATAGATAGTTATTCATGCCACTGCTTTTAAAGCTTTTCACATTATGTGAGCACATGACATTAGTCATACTGACTATGATTTGTCTGTTATCATTTGGACCAAGTGGCCAGAAAGATTCTGAAGTCTTGGTCGATTTCTGCAGGTAAAAAGTTAAAATGTGGTAAAACAGAGCCTGTATTTTTTCTGTGCCTATTCTGAACATGACTTCAAAGGATCACCATATAGAATTTAGTTGTTTCTGGCCTTCAGATGACTTTCGTGCTTTGAAAGCTGAAAAAATGTAATCTAAAATTCCTAATGCCTTAAAACGGATCTTCACCCTCAGGAGAAACTTCCCTCCTCTCTCCATCCCTCCTCCCCTCTGCTGCCAATATAGCCTTACACTGTCCTCCCTTTGCCTTCTGGGATTTGCATGTCATATAACCCAGGAGGCATTGCACTTCATTCAGAAGGGAGGGGGGGGATGTGCCTAGGGCCACATCATCAGGAGGCACATGTAACATGAACATGTAAGAGCTGGCGGGCCTCTTGATGATGTCACAATCAACATGGCAATGCGGGACCGAGAGGTGGCAAAATACAAGAGGATCTCAGTGTGACAACAATAGATCCTCTAGGTGGGTGAGTATTAGAAATGTGCCACCCAGTCCACCAGGTAAGTGTGTGTGTGTGTGTGGTTGGGGGGGGGGGGGGTAGGTGGCTGAAGATCCTATGCATGGTCTTGTATTGCTCCTGTTGAAAAATCTGGTCAGGGAGTCTAATCCAAGCCAGAGTATGCTAGTAAGTTTAGATATTTCTTTTATAATTTAAGGTAAATTTAGATATTACTTTTAAAAAAATCTTTTCTTGCCATACACTTTTAAATGCTATTTTAAAGAAAATTAAAGTATGGCAAAATCAGTTTTCAGCTTCTTCCCAACAAAATACATTCTTACATTTTAGAGAAATGCCAAAAACCTGGGGTAAATTTTCCAACACCATTACATTTTTTAATTTGGTTTTGATTTTGATTTGGTTTTGATTTTTAAAAATGAATGGCCAGATTAAGTGTTCCAAACCTTTAAAAGATTTGGTTATACAGATCTGCATATTTTGTTCTGATGCATACATTTCGCCTGTACACTGAACAAAAGAAACAATGTGATGACAATATAGCGATCCACATAATAATAGGAGATAGATAATTATCTGCATAAGGGTAATTTGTTTTGTTTATATGAGAAAATTATGGACAAACAAGATCTATTGCACTTAAATGTGTCATATAAGCTCCTCTTGCATCTTACCTTTAACAAATGTTAACCTTGTGATTAATGAAACCTAGCCATATGTAAGTTTACCATACATGAATTTCATATTATTTTATATTTCATATTATTTAAATCATTGTACAGCACAGTAAAGTCACAGAGTTTAGTTTACTTACAGAATGTAATGCTAGTCTGTATTAAGTTACATGAATACAGTTCACAATGTCTACCTGAGGTCAAATAGCATCGGTGAGGTGGCTGAATCATTTTTTATGAATGTTTATAACTTTTACTTGTGAGTCACTACAAATAAGTAAATGAGACAATGAGGTTTGCTATAAAAATGCTCATGTGTTTAACTGAAAGCCAATGATTCTATGTGCTGTGTAGCATACTTAAAGCAGTAGCACTGTATACCATTATCCTCAGATAACAGATGCCTGTTATGTATATCATAACAAATTCTCATTGTATGTTCATTTGCCTGATAAAATCTGCATTATAATTCTTTAACAGGTTTTGTTTTTTGTGTAAAGAGAACATTTTCATAAGATCCGCACTGATTTGGCTTGTGCATTTAGAGTTCTACTGCTTTAAGTCTGAAAAAAAAAAAACAGTTGGCAAATAATAATTTATTTGGGTGTGCACAGAAAAGTGGATGCAAAAATAAAAACCGTTGAAGCCATAATGGGCAGAAATGACTAAAAGCAAAAAGGTCAGGGCCGGGGGTGTAAATGAAGCTGGCAAGCACACTGCACTTTAGGTAGGGGTCACTGATTTCATTTTACTATACCCTCTGGTCCTCAAATTCTTTGAGAAGCTTTGCAGTTTTTGCCTTCTCAAACAGTAGGTTCTGCTCGAGCTCCCGAATTCGGGCATGCTCCAACTGCGTCTGTGTCTGCACCCAGGGGATAGGAAAAAGAGAGACAGCAGGAAAAAAAGGTTGCAATATTATCCAACATCTATATGAGAAAAATACTGTCTTTAGGCTGGAATGGTTGCTCCAGTTTTGTGAATGGTTGCCCCAGATGCCAGAAAATGTGGACAGCACAGTTGAGACAGCCAGTAGCAAAACCAAAAGAAGAAGAAGACTTCATTTAACTACACCAGGTCAAGAGACCATTTATACAGTACATGTTTGGAATAGAAGGCAACTGAATCTGGGTGAAAAAACAATTTAATGTTAAATGCTGTTATTTGGATCAGATAAACTTGAGCAGCTAAGTACTGTGAATGTAAAAAGAATGTCTTGCATTCCTGCATCCTAATTTCTCAACCCTGAAAATCATGTATGCATTGTCATCCTGTTCTAGATCAGCAGGATTGACTGTTTATAATATCACCAACTTAAAATATACTGACACTGCGATATCTATATCTTTCTCTTTTTCAGAGTTGAGACATGCTGCCAAGACACAAGAATAGCGCATTCTGAGTGCCTTTTAATCATTGATTAATATCAGTATACAGCCCTACTAGCAGGAAGCTGCACTAGGAGCACTTTTTTGATAATAACAAAGATAACACGTTTCTAGATTTAGACCATGTGTCAAATGTTGCCATATTTCTAACAACGGTTTTCTGAATCGATACAGGAAAAAAAGGTGATTGAATACATTATCTAACTTCTTCAGTTGGAAATATGATCACAGAGCCCGGAAGCTTTCCCCACAAAGGCACTTGAATGTCATTCCACAATGTGTTTCTATTTGAATGAATGTCAATGGAAGGGGCCATCTGGGAGGATGAACTGCAAAAGAATGGGGACATTGTGACAGAGAGCCAGTGTGCCTGTGCGTCTTGGCTGGGACCCGATATTTATACGTTCTAGTAATGCTCTGATAAGAAAGCTTCTAGAGCAAAACACTGATAACAGTCTCCTGTATAATCTCTTTCTTTAAAAAAAAAGTGTTTTAATATGAAGCACAATTTATGTTTGCATTGCACACTACTTGTCCTTAGAGTGCAATATTTTCTTTGAGTTATGAGTATGAATGTAAAGCTTAAAGTAGTACTAGAGCTCCCTTTAAAAATGTATGTGCTGCAGCACTTAAGTAAAAGGGCATTTGCACTTGCAGTTTTCTCTTAAACTGGCCATACACTGATCAAATTTTGTTCAGTGTGTGGCAATCATTTGATCGGCTTCTGTCCAACGGACAAGTTGGTAGATTCTCCTGGATCAGCAGCTGATTATTGTATTCTGACAACAGCAGGAGCCACTGTCAAAATCCAATGTCCCAGCAGAAGGATTCCTCCATCTACCTTATTTGTATGGATGGAGGAATTTATTGGATTTTTATTTGCTTCGTTCAGCAGTCCGCCGTGCATAGCCAGCTTTAGTCCCCCTGCAAAGTCCCACAAATACCTGTTGAGCCTGTCAGTGAAGTCCATCTATTGCCACTTCCTGTGATGACGTGGCAACGATGCTGCACTGCTTCAGAATTCAGAGCAGAGTTGTCACTCTCATGTAGGATGAGCCTGCTTGCACTGCAATGGGATGAAAAGATGTGGCAGGGGAGGTGGCTATAAGCACTGTCACTGCTGATTAACAAGCCTGTAACTTGTCAGTCATCACCTGGCCACACCTAGTCCTGCCCACTGCTTTCTGCATTGACAGAACTGCCTCTGTTGCTGAAACCCTACCACTGTGATCTGCAGTACCTGGAGAGGGGAAAATGAGAAAGAAATGAAGAAGATTTGGCTCAATCAGGAAAGGACATTTTCTGTTTACTTTATAAGGCTTGCAGGGGCGGACTGACAACTCATGGGGCCCCCGGGCAATAGGGGATCATGGGGCCCCTGTGTCCTTGCCCAAACTCAAAAAAGCCTATGAAAAAGGTACCAGGGGCATCTCATGGGGCCCCCTACTGACCCTGGGCCCTCGAGCAGTGCCTGAGTTTCCAAATGGTCAGTCCGCCCCTGAAGGCCTGTATATCACACAGTAACTGGATTTGGAACTGATTTAGACTGTCAAACAGCAATCTTCAGTTGTATTTTAAAAGTGGTACACTGAACTGGAACATTGCTTTTAACATCGGACTTTGTATGGGTAATCCAGACACAAAATATCAAGGGCCAGAAGTATTCATTATCACACATAAAAAATCTTGCTTTAAAACCAGACACCAGTTATTCCCTGCTCTATAGGGAGTAAGGAATGAACCTTGTACTGGCTTTGCCATGTCAGCATGGTGACTAACTCAGGGAGAAGAACAGGTACCGATGCCAGTGTAATATGCAGAAATACCTTTCATACTGTATTGATAATAGTACCGTGTAAATGGACAGGCTTCATTTTTGGGGAAAAAAGAACGTATTACCCAAAGTAAACAAATTCATTTTTTCTATAAATGATAGAATCTATTTGCTATGGACATCCCAGATACTTTTCTTCAAACAGTTTTGTACCTTCTTCTTAGTGAGTACCAATATATCTTTGGCATGCCCATTAGATTAGCTGTTACAACTGCCTAGACAAGGGTATTACACCTTCCACCATCACCAATCACTTTTTCTTTAATATGTCTGCTAGAACTTGGTCACAGATTTTCCTATCCCAGCACTCAGGAAAATAGTGATGTTCCTCAGAGCAACCAGTCAAGTGCTTTAATTGGTGATGTACAGTACAGGAAGAGAAATCAAGTCTACGGGCTGTGCAAAAAAGCCATGGTAATAAAGCTTTTTTGATCCCCAACTACTGTCATAACAGATTTTCCAAATGAAGTGTCTAGCTAAATAAAGTAATCGCATACCTCAAGATCTCCCTTTGTAATGGATTCCTCTTCCACTCTGAACTGGAGGTCTTCTACTTTCCTATAATGGGATAACAGATTTAATGGGATAACAGATAGACCAATAATTCATGGACTATAAATGTATTAACTCAAAGCAACTTTACAAAAATTCATTTATTTCAATAACTTCTCTAAAATGTTTAAATATTTTTTTAATTCACCCACTGTAAACCTAAAATTTTTCTCTATACTGGGCAAACACATACTAGTTGAAAGTTAAAAAAAGCTTAGTTAGCAGGAGTCTCTGCTCTGTTTTGATGGGTGTGAAGGGAGAAGTTTGCATACTTTATGTCTACAAAAGGAAAAAAAGGTCACTCATATAGTCAATCAAAGAGCAGACATGAGATAGGCGAAGGTGTTAAGGCTCCAAGAGTACAGTTTTGAAAAGTGCTGTTACACTATTCAAGAGTACTGCTATATACAGTAGCATTGCACGGGTCTGAAGATCTCAAGAGTATAGCGAAACAAATGTTACATATGGTTTCATCTGTTTTCTGAAGTTGACCTATGCAGAATTAGTAAACTGTTTAAACGTATCAGCTCATTTTGTGTCCGGGCAATGAAGCATATACAGTAACCTTTTCCCTTTATTTTCCTCTCCTCTGATAGCTGACATCAGGGACCCAGTTAGTATGAATCTTCCAAACATCATGAGGATCTGACACAGAGGTATATAAAAGAAGACATATTCTCAAGATGGGATAAAAAAAAACCTAGGTCTGACTACAACAACCCCACTAATCACCAAAAAGTGTTACAGTGTTACTAAACTACAGCGCTGAACAAACTGTTGGCGTTATATAAATCCTGTATAATAATAATAATAAACACAGGACCCTGCATTCACTATATCTGATCTCCCAAAGTACACAGAACATAGAAGTGCAATTATCTTAGTAAATATAAACTGCTAAATACTTTTTCTCATCAGCAGTTAGAGCAGTCTTGTGACTTCTATCTGTTTTCAGCCCACCACTAGCTACAGCTTGTAGGAGTTTTCTTACCGCTATAGGAAGATGCAAATTCGCTGAACTCTGTCTGGACAGTACTGATTGGCTCTGCACTCTCCCAAGAAAAAAACCCCAAAAAACTCTCTAGCAATACACACCAAACTGAGCATGTGCATGCCTGCGGTTCAGTTTGGAGATAAGAGGTGGTCGCTTCAAAAAGGAGAGGTACAGAGAAGAAAGGATCAAACAGCCTTTTCACACAATGCAGAGGATTAAACCCTTAGGTTCCACAATGAGTATAACAAGCATGCTTTACTGCATATACAGACTGATTTTACTGTTGTGGGTTTAGTAACACTTTAAGCACACCAGATTAGTTAAACACTTTATAAAATGTATATTTATTCATTTGTATCAAAAATGAGGCAGAAAGTAAGAAAAAAAGAAAAATTAAAAAACTTGGCAAAGACTAAGGGTATATTTCATAAGTGAGGCTATTTCAGGTACTTCTGTTACTTCAGACAAACAAATGGCCTTTACAGGTCTACCATAATTAGCTGCACTTATATACCTTTATTCTTAAGCAAGATTTTTAATTTTTCTTTTTTTCTTACTTTCTGTCTCATTTTAAAAACTAATTTATACATATTATTGTAGTGATGCACCAATAAAATTATAAGCCGAAAATAGGGTTATCAGCATTTTGCTGATTGAAAAAAAGGTACTGATAATGATAATTGACTTCAATGCAAATTCACGTCCTGTTGACTTCAATGCAAAAAAGCCCTCTATTGACCTGAATGCAAAATCGCGTCGCATTGACCTGAATGCAAAATCGCATCCCATTGACTTCAATGCAAAACACCCCCTACTGACATCAATGCAAAAACGCCTCTGTTTAAGATTTTTGATTTTATATATAATTCAATTAATTTTCATTCCAATTTTTGTGTGCTACTTTCAATAAAAGTTATTTTACGTTACTGGATTGTATTTTTTAAATTGATATTCATTTAAACTCAGAATATCAATTAAATAGTCAAATATAACACAATCATATATAAAAAAAATATACTTTTTAAAAAAAAAAAAAACTGTCTATATCAGTTCTGGTTTTTCGGCCAAGTGCATCCTGAATTTTTGGTTTCAGTCCAGCATTTTCATTTCAGTGTACCACTAATATATTTATACAGTATCTGTGTTTATATATTCCGGTGTGTTTAACACTTTTTGGTGATTAGTGGGTTTTTTTAGTCAGAGCTAGGTTTTTAATTCCTTACTGAGAAATTTGAGATCACTTACTGCCCGTAGGAAGTCATATGACGTCCTTGGGTTTCAGTGGAGATATCTGGATGATGCTTGCAGCTACAAACATCATCCACATATCTTTTATTTCAGCTGGCAATTCCCTCCTGTGTAAAAGCTGTCCTAGCAGCTCATTAGCTGCTGGATTGCTTTTGCAGGTGTCCAGTGGCATATCTCCGTGCCCTCCCGTGCGATCGGGGAGCTAGAGAAGCAATCCGGCAGTGGTGGTAGTGCACCATAGAGACTGCCGAGAACCAGATCATCCCTGGCCATCTCTATGACCCTGGGAGGCCGGAAGCGACGTCATGACATCACTTCTGGCTCTGCAAGATGTAAACACTGCCATTTTTTTTGCTGGAAAGCAGAGATCGAAGTTTATTTATTTTTTTATATTTCATGCTTTCCAGCAAAGAGGAGATATTTGGGGTCTTATAGACCCCAGATCTCTCCATAAAGAGGACATCTCATGCCGTATTCCTATTACAAGGGATGTTTACATTCCTTGTAATAGGAATAAAAGTGATAAAAAATAAATAAAGGGAAAGTGTAAAAAAAAAAAAAATAATTAAAAAAAAAAAATGTAAAGAACCCCTGTCCCTTGTGCTCACACACAGAAGCAAATGCATACGTAGGTCACGCCCGCATAAGTAAACAACGTTCGAACCACACATGTGAGGTATCGTCGCAAAAATTATAGTACTGGACCTCCTTTGTAGCTCTAAACTGGTAACTTGTAAAAAATTTTAAAGCATCACCTATGGAGATTTTTAAATACCGTAGTTTAATGCCATTCCTTGAGTGTGCACAATTTTAAAGCATGACATGTCTGGTATCTATTTACTCGGCATAACACCATCAAATTTTGGGGGTTCTGAGTAATTTTATAGCAAAGAAATTATGATTTTTACATGTAGGAGAGAAATACCATAATTGGCCCAGTAGGCAAGTGGTTGATATACAGGTGACTCCCCCACTTTTGCATTTTTCTTCATCGATAGATATTGAATATTTTAAGTTCTGTAGAGGCATATCAGCATCTCTTTTGGGTGTGCATGATATTAAAAACTTGCCAAAGACACAGGAGATTTGTGTCCAAAGGCTACTTAGGATGCTTGTTTTATTTGGCAGTATATGCAGCATATCACTGCACTGTAATTTTGCGCTTCTGTCAATAAGAGCCCGAATTAAACATGTATAATGAGAATCATAACATTTAATTTCCATCACAATAGTGCACTTATTATCTATTTATTGCCTAGAAAATAATGATTTTAATTCATCAAGCTGTAAAAAGTCTTTGAAAAGTTCAACACACAATTGCTATTTAAAGTATGTAATATGAAAAGAAAAAAAGGCTCTTAAGTGTAGAACAGATGTGTACCCTTAGTGAGGCACCAGTGACTATAAACAATTTAACAAAAATTTCCAACAAACCCAATCAAATGCAAATCTATTTGCTCACAGACTCTGTCTGTAATTTGCATATCACAAATAAAAAATGGTTCATTTTTAATACAAATGTATTTCTAATGTTTTACCTTTTTTCCTCTTCTAGTTGGTTAAGCAGATCAATTTTTTCTTTCTGTGTTGTTTCTACCATAGCGCAAGCCCTCTGTAGATTTCCTTCTGCCTCTGTAATATACTGGCAAAGAATAAATCTATTAGCACAGAGAAAGCCATCTTGTGTACAATCTATTTTAAACACCAAAACAGTCAACTGCAAATTGAGATTGCTTGTTAGGGTAAATAAAAATAAAAAGATTTATATTGACCCTTAATATTAGCATTAAACTGGAAATATTTAAAATGCTTTCAGTTTTCAAATTATTAGTAATAAGTAATATAACCTGGTGAATTTAGTATGTTATAGGGAACAGCTGGGACAGTTCCCAGACACAAGTCACCCATATTTAAGGTAAATGGGCTTCAGGAGCAATATGATATCCTGCAGACATTTACAGTAGATTCAGTTTTACTCTAGTCTACAGAGCTTAGCTACAGTTCTATGCCAGTGTGTTGCTTGAGTAACAAATCTTTTCATATATCTGATGCATATTTTAATGGGCAATATCTACAGCCAAGCAATGTTTTCCTCCTTGGATTCATGCGTGACTGCATAAAACAGAAACTGTATTATTGGTTATCTGTATGAGGGGATCACTGTGATATTCATGCATGGCTTTCTCTAATAAAAGGCTGATTTGTAGCATCGGCAAAGCATAAAGCCTCTGTCATGTGGTTTACTATATCCATCATATGAGAATTAGAAGTATTTTTATAATTACATGTTATTTTGTGGAAGATTGTAGCTGTACAAATCTTGCCTTTCCACAATATGTTTTTAAAATGTATATTTGATATACAGTATTTTTTTAAAGTTAGCTTATCTTAAAAATATTATATATTTATGTTATATAAAATTTTCTATCAGATATTATAGGACCTTTTGTGTTGAAATCTGCTGTGCAGAAAATTAAAAAACAAATAACACAATTGGTATACACATGAGCACCTATACAAGGACACCAAAACCTGGTTTCCAATATGCATCCTTCAATCTGCTGTGTGTAGTATGTAGCATTGCAACTGACTGCTCACTGTAAATGGGTGCTAAATGAAGCTTGTAACCATTCTCCACTCTACTAAAAAAAAACAACCTTTTATTCCTATCTACATCCCTTTAGAGAGATCTGCCATACTGTCCTGATGACTGCACTGGATTGACAAATAGGGACATAGACAAACCCTCATGGAATGTATAACCAATTCCACTATAAAAATTGTTGGAGTTTTTAAATTATTAAGATGGCATAATTTTTGTTAACACCGACTATGCAGTCCCATTACTTGTACAACTTACTACAGGGACATACCCCATTCCATCAAAGACTGGCCCACAGTAGGAAATAATAAGCGTATGTCAGTACAAAACTGTTGAGATGCCAGAAAATATAGTGTGGATGTGAAATATACCAGGTGAAACTCGAAAAATATCGTGCAAAAGTTAATTTATTTCAGTAACGCAACTTAAAAGGTGAAACTAATATATGAGATAGACTCATTACATGCAAAGCAAGATAGTTCAAGCCGTGATTTGTCATAATTGTGATGATTATGGCTTACAGCTCATGAAAACCCCAAATCCACAATCTCAGAAAATTAGAATATTGTGAAAAGGTGCAATATTCTAGGCTCAAAGTGTCCCACTCTAATCAGCTAATTAAGCCATAACACCTGCAAAGGGTTCCTGAGCCTTTGAATGGTCTCTCAGTCTGGTTCAGTAGGAATCACAATCATGGGAAAGACTGCTGACCTGACAGTTGTGCAGAAAATCATCATTGACACCCTCCATAAGGAAGGAAAGCCTCAAAAGGTAATTGCAAAAAAAGTTGGATGTTCCCAAAGTGCTGTATCAAAGCACATTAATAGAAAGTTATGTGGAAGGGAAAAGTGTGGAAGAAAAAGGTGCACAAGCAGCAGGGATGACCGCAGCCTGGAGAGGATTGTCAGGAAAAGGCCATTCAAAAGTGTTGGGGACTTCCACAAGGAGTGGACTGAGGCTGGAGTCAGTGCATCAAGAGCCACCACACACAGACGGATCCTGGACATGGGCTTCCAATGTTGTATTCCTCTTGTCAAGCCGCTCCTGGACAACAAACAACGTCAGAAGCGTCTTACCTGGGCTAAAGAAAAACAGACCTGGTCTGTTGCTCAATGGTCCAAAGTCCTCTTTTCTGATGAGAGCAACTTTTGCATCTCATTTGGAAACCAAGGACCCAGAGTATGGAAGAAGTATGGAGAGCACACACTGCAAGATGCTTGAAGTCCAGTGTGACGTTTCCACAGTCTGTGTTGATTTGGGGAGCCATGTCATCTGCTGGTGTTGGACCACTGTGCTTCATTAAGGGTCAACGCAGCCATCTACCTGGAAATTTTGGAGCAGCACTTCATGCTTCCTTCCACAGACGAGCTTTATGGGGATGCTGACTTCATTTTCCAACAGGACTTGGCACCTGCCCACACTGCCAAAAGCACCAAAACCTGGTTCAATGACCGTGGGATTACTGTGCTTGATTGGCCAGCTGTCAGGCTCCACCCAACGGGATCTCTAGTGGTCCACGGCACGGGGTTTCCCAGGGCGCGGAGTCTAAGTCCCAGTCTGCCTTTTCACCAGGGCCCCTGATGGTGGGGATGGACTTGGTGCAAGACTGAAACCAGGTCGCGTTCCTGGGCACCCCGGCGGTGGCAGAGGGGTCCCGCTGGGGGTATGTGCCCGGGTTGAGCCTGCTGTGAAGGGGATGACAGCTCCTGATCCGAGCGGGATGGATGGGATGACAGATCCCGATCCGAGCGGGATGGATGGGCAACTGTCAGGAGTGGACGAGGTCAGACTAGCCGGGTCGGAATTGTGCGGGCAGCGTGGTACAGGGGGAGTAAGCGGAGAATAGTCGGGGTCACAAGCCAGGTTCAAAAGGTAGCGGGCAACGAGGTACCGAGGGTCAGGCGGAAGGATGGTCAGGGACGAGCCGGGGTCAGAGCAGGAGAAGGTAAGCATAAGTCAGAACAGGCAGAGTTTGGCAACTAGGAAGCGTACTTACAGGACTGGAACAAGACCTTGCGGCAACTTGGAGATGCACAGGCAGCTTCAAATAGGGCGCCCTGCTCTCCCATTGGTGCGGCCGCGATCGCTACTGCGCATGCGCGGCCGCCGCGATCGCCGAGGATTCTGCGCTCGCCGGCTGGGACGGATCGGCGGTCTGCGCATGCGCGCGCCGCCGAGGACCGGGATCCCTAACATTGCCCCCCCCCCTACGGGCAACCTCCCAACCGACCCCTACTCAACGGCTGGTTCCGAAAAAATTCCCGCACAAGCCTTGGGGCATGCACATTTTGGGCCGGCTCCCATGAATTCTCCTCCGCCCCATATCCTTTCCATTTAACCAGAAACTGAGTTTGGCCTCCCCTCTTCCTGCAATCTAAGATAGCTTCAACTTCAAATTCCTCCTCCCCATCCACGTCTACTGCCTCCGGTGGCTTAGACCTTCGATCCGGGAAGGGGTCTGGAGTTGCCGGTTTCAACAGGGACACATGGAAGACCGGATGAACCTTCATAGATTCGGGCAGTGCCAGCTCGTATGCCACCTCGTTGACCTTACGTTTGACCCGGAAAGGCCCCAAGAACTTGGGAGCCAATTTCTTTGAAGGGCAGGACATTTTTAAATTGGCGGTGGACAACCAAACCTGGTCCTCTGGCCGCAAACTCAATTCCCCTCTTCTCTTCCTATCAAACGCCCTCTTGTTGTCATCCTGGGCCTTTGCCATTGCTTCCTGCAATACCTTGCTATTGGTTGACAGAAAGGTCAACATATCCTGCGTGGCTGGGACTGCGACCTCTGGGATTAGATCTGGCAGGAATACAGGGTGGAACCCATAGTTTGCAAAAAACGGGGACTGTCTCGTAGCAGAGTGACTCGCATTATTATATGCGAATTCCGCAAGCGGCAGGAGAGTAACCCAGTCATCTTGGAGGAAGGTGGTATAGCACCTGAGGTACTGCTCTAGGGTCTGGTTTGTACGCTCCGTCTGGCCATTGGTCTGTGGGTGATAAGCAGAAGAGAATGATAACTTAATCCCCAGGGTTTCACATAGAGCTTTCCAGAACCTGGACGTAAACTGAACCCCTCTGTCAGATACAATGTCCCTGGGAATTCCGTGGAGTCTTACTACTTCCTTAATAAACACACGTGCTGTTTCAAGGGCCGTAGGTGTGTCCTTTAAGGGTACAAAATGGGCCATCTTGGACAGGCGGTCCACAATCACGAAGATTTGCTGTGTGGTCCTGAGAGGGTGGAAGTTCCACGATAAAATCAATGGAAATCATGGTCCATGGCCTGTCGGGTATGGGTAATGGGCGCAAGAGACCCCAAGCTTTGTTCCTGGTGGGTTTGTTTCTCTGACAAACGGGACAAGTCTTTATGTAGGTTTCGCACTCTCTGGCCATATTAGGCCACCAGAAAGTACGCTGCAGCAGTTCCAAGGTCTTACGTACCCCAAAGTGCCCGGCCAGCGGGTGATCGTGGCAGTATCCTAATACCAAGGTACGGGCCTCCTCAGGGACCACAATCAGATCCTCCTTCCAGAAAAGTCCTTCCCTATTTAATAAGGGGGACACCGGGTGGGCCTTGCATCCCTACGGACGCGGTCTGCAGTTGCGAATGGAGCTCCGATTGGAGGGCTAGGAAATTCCCTGGGGTCAGGATAGTGTCTGGCCTGGGATTCTCCTCGGGATCCCCAAACATGCGGGAGAGTGCGTCTGGTTTTGTGTTCTTAGACCCTGGCCGATAGGTTATGTGGAAAAAGAACCGTGAAAAGAACAGCGCCCACCTGGCTTGACGTGGCCTCAAACGTTTAGCTGTCCTCAGATATTCTAGTTTTTATGATCCGTAAAAATCAATATTGGGTGTACCGCTCCCTCTAACAAGTATCTCCATTCCTCTAGTGCCACCTTGATTGCCAAGAGCTCCCGATCCCCGATATCATAATTCCTTTCCGCAGGAGTTAGTTTCCTGGAGAAGAAAGCCCCCGGGTGCATGAGCTCTTTGATGCCCTTCCTCTGGGACAGGATCGCCCCGACCGCATTCTCGGATGCGTCCACCTCCAAGACATATGGCAAGGACGAATCAGGGTGGCTCAAAATAGGAGCTGCCGTAAACAACTCCTTTAAGGCTTCGAAAGCCCTCTGTGCCTCAGGTGTCCATTGGAAGCGAACCCCCTGCCTGGTCAGCTGGGTGATCGGGGACACTAGGCCTGAAAAGTTCTTAATGAACTTTCTGTAAAAGTTAGCAAAGCCGATGAAACGTTGGACCGCTTTCTTGTCGGTTGGCGCTGGCCAATCTAAAATGGCCGAAACCTTTTGGGGGTCCATGGCTATTCCCGTGGGAGAGATGGTTAGACCCAGAAACGAAATACTACTTTGTTCAAAGCAGCATTTGTCTGCCTTGGCATATAAGCTGTGTTGGCGGAGCCGTTCCAACACGCGCCTCACGTGACCTCTATGGTCCTCCAAGGTTGGGGAAAAAAACAAGGATATCGTCTAGGTATACGATGACGAAGATATCTAGGTAGTCCCTGAACACATCGTTTATGAAATGCTGGAAGGTGGCAGGGGCGTTGCATAGGCCGAAGGGCATAACCAAATATTCATAGTGCCCGAATCTGGTACGGAATGCTGTCTTCCACTCGTCCCCCTCTCTGATACGGACTAAATTATAGGCACCTCTCAAGTCTAGTTTAGTGAAGACAGATGCAGACTTCAGCCTCTGAAAAAGTTCGGGGACCAGTGGTAGCGGGTAACGGTTTTTTACTGTGACATTATTCAAGTCCCGGTAATCTACGCAGGGCCGGAGGGACTTGTCCTTTTTCTCCACAAAGAAAATGCCCGCCCCGGCTGGCGACGTGGAGGGTCTAATAAACCCCTTATGGAGGTTTTCATCTATATATTCCTTTAGCACCCCTAACTCCCGTTCGGACAAGGGGAATATCCGCCCAAATGGGATTTCCGACCCTGGGAGGAGATCAATTGGGCAGTCATAAGCTCGGTGCGGGGGGAGAGAGTCCGCCCCCCGCTTGCTAAACACATCCAGGAAATTATGGTAGACTGAAGGAATGACTCGCACCAGCTTCGCATCTGTCTCTAGACACAACACGGTCGGCGGTATCGGGGAGATCTTAGGGAGGCAGTGCTGCTGGCAGTATGTGGAGAGGAACTGGATAGAACCCGCTTTCCAGTCCACCTGGGGATTATGGGCACGTAACCACGGGAGCCCCAAAATAATGGGAAATAATGGGGATGCTATGGCGTCCAACCGAAGGAGTTCCTCGTGATGGGTCGATACGGTAGTACGGATAGGTGGGGTCTCGTGGTCCACCACCCCTGACTTAATGCGTGACCCATCTGCTAGAAAAATATTCAATCCCACCTCCTTGGTTTGTAGAGGAATTTGTTGCTGAGCTGCAAAGTCTAAATCTATGAAGCAACTACGCCCCAGAATCCACAATAGCCAAGGTCACTACTGTTCTCCCTGGTAGCTGAAGTGACACAGGTACCGCTAGGTAACTAGTGTTGCCCACGCTGTTAGAAGATACCGTAGAGAAAATAGCGGAGCACTTACCCCTCTTGGCTGGACAGGTACATACCATATGGCCTGCTCCCCCACAGTAGAGGCAGAGATGGTAGGTAAGACGCCTCTGGCGTTCCTCGGGTGTTAGTGTCGGCCGGATTCTTCCCGATGGACCGGTTTCGGGTGTATCCATAGCATCCTGATTCTGGCTAGCCGGCTGGAACAGGGTTGAAGCCTGAGGAGGTGTTCCCGTTGGGCCTCGTCCTTGGTTGCCCCTTTCCTGCCTGCGCTCCCGCAACCGGCGGTCAATTTGTATAGTCAAAGCTATTAAGGCCTCCAAAGTGCTAGGTATGTCTATTCGGGCCAATTCGTCCTTCAGGGATTCAGCTAACCCTACGCGGGAACTGGTGGTGCAGAGCCGCCTCGTTCCATTGGCAGTCACTACGCCAACGCCTGAAGTCGGCGGCATATTCCTCCACTGTCCGGTGACCCTGCCTGAGCGTATATAGGGCCCTCTCGGCCATTGCGGTGCGCAGGGGGTCGTCATACAAGAGGGCCATAGCCTCAAAAAATACCGTTTACCGACTTTAACAGGGGGTCTCGATTCTCTCGGAGCCGGTGGGCCCAGTCCTGGGGTCCTCCCTGTAGTAGGGAAATAATGAACCCTACCCTCACCGATTCGGAGGAAAAGGTCCGGGGCTGGAGGTCAAAGTATAACTGACAGGAGTTACGAAAGGCCCTGAATCTCCCTTGGTCTCCAGAAAAAACGTTCCGGTGTGGGGACACGGGGTTCTGGTGCGGGTTCCCCAGGCCCCCTGGTAGAGGTAGCTAAAGTCTGCATGCGACTCTCCAATTCCGTATAACCCTCCTGTAGGCCCCTAATTCCCAGTGTAAGGGTCTCCATCCGTTGGCAGATGTCGTCCAGAGGGGAAGTTCCCCTTCCAGGCTCAGTCATGGCCGCAAGGTACTGTCAGGCTCCACCCAACGGGATCTCTAGTGGTCCACGGCACGGGGTTTCCCAGGGCGCGGAGTCTAAGTCCCAGTCTGCCTTTTCACCAGGGCCCCTGATGGTGGGGATGGACTTGGTGCAAGACTGAAACCAGGTCGCGTTCCTGGGCACCCCCGGCGGTGGCAGAGGGGTCCCGCTGGGGGTATGTGCCCGGGTTGAGCCTGCTGTGAAGGGGATGACAGCTCCTGATCCGAGCGGGATGGATGGGATGACAGATCCCGATCCGAGCGGGATGGATGGGCAACTGTCAGGAGTGGACGAGGTCAGACTAGCCGGGTCGGAATTGTGCGGGCAGCGTGGTACAGGGGGAGTAAGCGGAGAATAGTCGGGGTCACAAGCCAGGTTCAACAGGTAGCGGGCAACGAGGTACCGAGGGTCAGGCGGAAGGATGGTCAGGGACGAGCCGGGGTCAGAGCAGGAGAAGGTAAGCATAAGTCAGAACAGGCAGAGTTTGGCAACTAGGAAAGCGTACTTACAGGACTGGAACAAGACCTTGCGGCAACTTGGAGATGCACAGGCAGCTTCAAATAGGGCGCCCTGCTCTCCCATTGGTGCGGCCGCGATCGCTACTGCGCATGCGCGGCCGCGCCGCGATCGCCGAGGATTCTGCGCTCAACGGCTGGGACGAATCGGCGGTCTGCGCATGCGCGCGCCGCCGAGGACCCCGGGATCCCTGACACCAGCAAACTCGCCTGACCTGAACCCCATAGAGAATCTATGGGGCATTGCCAAGAGAAAGATGAGAGACATAAGACCGAACAATGCAGAAGAGCTGAAGGCCCCTATTGAAGCATCCTGGTCTTCCATAACAACTCAGCAGTGCCACAGGCTGATAGCTTCCATGCACGCCACATTGAGGCAGTATATGCAGCACAAGGGGTCCAAACCAAGTACTGAGTACAAATGCATACTTCTACTTTTCAGAGGTCCGATATTGTTCTATGTACAATCCTTGTTTTATTGATTGCATGTAATATTCTAATTTTCTGAGATTGTGGATTTGGGGTTTTCATGAGCTGTAAGCCATAATCATTACAATTATGACAAATCACAGCTTGGACTATCTTGCTTTGCATGTAATGAGTCTATTTCATATATTAGTTTCACCTTTTAAGTTGCATTACTGAAATAAATTAACTTTTTGCACAATATTCTAATTTTTTGAGTTTCACCTGTACGCTGGACTTTTTTCTCCCTTGCTAGGTTATAAAAAGTGTAGGAGATGCTGCTAAGGACATAGGTGCAAGGAAGAGACTGCCATAAAAGACTCTTGTTTGTGATGGCAAGATAGCTACATGCTTTCTCACACTGTGGGCCCCATCTTTGGCCTGTGAAATATAACTCAGGGTGATATATTGTGAGGGCAGCTATGCAGAAACTCAGACTCAGAATAGTGACAGTCAGCCCCTATACGCAGGATGTGTATTCCTTTATAAAGATGTATCATGCCACTAGCTGGGTTTTGTAAAGGAATGGCTGTTGAGTAAAGCATTCACAAAGGCAAATTTTGGGACATGACCTTCTGTTATTGGCTGAGCTGGGAAAAGTGTTATGTCTAATCTGATGTGAAGGGTTAATATACCCTGGAGGGCCTGTAATATAGTTTGGTCCGGTGACTGCTATTACATTCTGTGGCCCTACCTGCAAGAGGCAAAGCGAAAGGAATTCCTCTGCTGGTTGATGGTCTGTAATGTGAGTGGGAGAAATTGGAGATAACTTGCTTTTGAATCTCCAGTTAAATCAAAGAAGCCACCCACTGACTGTTCGGTATAATTCAATTTGGGCTACATGGCCATGCACCACTTGGTAGCCTTGGAGTCGCAAGATGGCGATGAGGAGGACAAGGTTTTTCCATTCCTCCACCACTAGGGGACCTTCTTACCCACTTATGGCCAAATGTAGCTATTTATAGCTGATGAGTTAACATTTCTTTCATTCTATACAACTGCATCAAAATCCAAGCAACTTTCAGTTAATAATCCAGTAAAGTAGCAGTCAATTGTTGAGCTGGCTCCAATATAGGTGTCCTAACAATGACAGTAATACTCTTTATAGTAATTGTATATAGTGCCACAATTCTGTTTGCAGTAGGTAACGATGTTTATATGTGATCTAATGCCAGTGCCAAAAGTAGTAACTCACTTACGTGCAAGATGGAAATGAAAAAGATGCCTCAACAGCAGATCGGGCTTTCTTGCACACTAGTAAAGCACTAATATCTAGCCATATAACATAACAATGAATATATGAATGAAAAAATAGTCATTGGATTACCTTTTCATGTTGTGTTTTCAAATGTGTAAGCTCCTTCTCCACTTCACAGATGTGACTGGTGGCTTTAGCTACCTCAGCTCTTTCCAGGTCTCTTTCAGCCAATAATTGCTCAATGTGTTGCTGCTTTTCTTTCAGGGCCTCTTGAAGTGCAGTTGTACCAGAGATTTTCCGTGCGTAGCGAGACGATGTTTCTGTGAGCTATAGGCAAATCCGTTGGATTCATGTTACAATAATGTAGGGAATACATTTCTTTTCATTCTCATTTCAAGATGTAGGTGTTTACTATGTATAAAAACTCATGGCTGTAAGCCTGATATAAGTTACAAGTTCCTGACTGCCTTGTTACTTGAACATGCTTTAATTATGCTATGAGATGAGTATTGACAGAATCCTGTTGTGTAATTTGCTACTTCACTGGTCAGTGGAACCATATACTACACAGACTTAGTCCTCTCAAAACTAACATTTCAGATTTAAATTTATAATCATTAAGTTGTATATTGTTTATTTTCTGAAACTTGACAACTTACCTGGCTGTCTCAATGTATCACCAAAAGAGGATTTAACACTACTCTTGGAAGAATTTAAATTAAGAAAATTAACAAAAGAGTCCAGCAAAAAGTTGGACACCTTTGTAATAGACTTACAAACATGGGAAATGTGAAGGGTAGATTTCACATTACTGGAGTCCCCAGTTGTTCTAAAAGGTGGCAGATTATGCAACGCACTACTCTTTATATAATACTATGTTAGGGTTTGGCAGCACTGCCCTGAAACTAGACAAAATTGGCACATGCACTAGGCAAAAAAAAGGTTGTAAATTAGGAATGCTTTCAGAAAAAGAAGTGTTAGCTTATTTTTATCAGTTAAAATGGAAAGTAAATGAACAGAAGATAAATCCAAATCATACTAATATTTGGTGTGACCACCCTTTGCCTTCAAAACCGTATCAATTCATCTAGGTACAGACACAGTTTTTGAAGGAACTCAGCATCTTGGAGAACTAACCACTGATCTTCTGTGGATGTAGGCTGCCTCAAATTTTCTGTCACTTCCAGGACTTCTTGTTCTTCTTTACACTGAAGATAGTTCCTAATAAAATTGGCTGTATGTTTGGGGTCGTAATTCTGCTGCAGAATAAATTTGGGGCCAACTACACACCTCCTTGATGGTATTACATAATGACTAAGTATCTGCCTGTATTTCTCACCAATAAAAGACAAGTTTAGGAATATTTTTTTTTAAATTACACCTAAGAGGCTGCAGCATCGATCCAATGCATCTGTCCCCTGCTGGTTCTATGTGTGAGAAGTGATCGATCAGACACCGCTGATCGTTCCGTTCTCTCCCTCCACTCTGAGCAGCGAGCTGGGACTGTCACTCTCTGGCTCTCTGCTCTGCCCCCCCAGCACTCACTGAAACATTTGGGCTGTGGAGGGGGCAAGAGAGAGGCTGGCTCAGGCTCTCAGTGGATCGCTTTTTCTGGCTACTTCTGACAAGACTTCTCCACTCAGCAGATGGGAGTCCCACTGGTTTCAGCCACCTCTGTGCTGATGCTAGACATCTTTCAATGTTGAATGAAAGTAAGCATGATGTGTCTTTCATCTGCTATTTTAATTTTCCTTGGTCGACAACTGTGTCTACAGTCCTTAATATTACCCATTTCTTTGTGCTTCTTCAAAAGAGCTTGGACAGCACACCTTGAAACCCCAGCCTGCTTTGAAATCTTTGTCTGGGAGAGGCCTGGCTGATGCAGTCAAAATACCTGGTGTCTTGTTTCTGTGCTCAGTCTTGCCATGGTGTATGACCTGTGAAACTGTCTTCCACAACTTCACTTTAGCAACAGAGTTTGACTGTTCTTCACCCAATTTTAAGCCTCCTACGCAGCTGTTTCTATTTCAGTTAATGATTGTGTTTCAACCTACATATGAAATTGATGATCACTAGCACGTGCATGGTATAATTGGTTAATCATACACCTCTATTCCTACAAAATTCCTGACTTTGTGCAAATGTACAGTATGTGCAAGTGTAAGAATTGATGCTAGTTTAAAGCCAAAGGGTTGTCACACCAAATTTTGATTTGGCTCAGATTTTTCTTAATTTCTCTCAGTTTGCATTTTGTAAAGTGATAAAAATAAACAACTAAAAATATATATTTTTTGAAAGCATTCTTACTTTACAGCATTTCTACACATCTACCTGAAACATTTGCACACTACTGTATATTACTATGGCAAGGTTAGCCATAGTACTTCTGTTGCTCAAGTACAAGTTCACATAAAAACTCTTACAGTAGAAGTAAAGTAGAACTTTTTCCCTTTTTGGTTAGACACCTACCCCCTGTAAGTTTTGCCATCTGTTTCCCACTGGAGAGATTTCCCTTCCCAACACCAAAACAGGAAGCGAGAGGAAATCCCTCTAAAGTTAGCGAATCCCTGATTGTCACCAGAACTAGTGCCCCCATTGCAAAATTTCAGCCTCTAACAGTTTTTTTTTTGAAAATACAATTTTTTTTTCTCTTACTGAGAGGACAAAGCTCCCTAATGGGAGCACATACAGCAATAAAAACCAATCAGGTGTTTTGATCCCTGTCCAAAACTAAAAAAAAATGTTTTACCTTAAGTTATACTTTATGTACTCCCACACATAGTGCAAGAAGTCCAATAACTAAGTGCAGTGTCAAAGTACCAACACACAATACTTTGGCAGAGCTGAAGAATATATGTCATGCATCATGCCAATGGAAAAAAATTATTAAAACACGTTAAAGTTTATGAAATGAATTACTGCCTGTTAATAGAATTAACTATGTACTTTCCTCAAAATTCCATTAACAATTTGCTCCTACCAGGCCACTCCTACTGGGTCTGCCTCCTACAGAAGATGCCACAGAGCTCACTGAGCTGATGGAGGAGCTGCTGGGACTGTGAGTCAATGCAGACACTCCCATTGCCATCCTTTTGCTTTTCTTAGCTTTAGCAGGACTTGTAGATGGAAAACCAATGCGGATCACTTTGTGGATAGGAGCAAATAGGCCAAACTTTGGTGGACACTGAAAGTACCTGTAGTAACAAAATAAACACATTAGGCCAATATTCATTGACTGGATAACAGAGAATAGCTTTTCATTTATGAACCTTGTTACTATTAGATATATTCAATTCCAGATGTCAGTGACTGCAGAAATACCAGTATGTACTATAGCATTACACAGAGATAAAGATCATAACAATACAGAATCGCTCATATAAGGGCTTGTAAGAGGCTTGTAAAGGCTGAAGGTTTTTTACCTTCTTGCATTCTATGCACGAAGGTAAAAAAACTTCAGTGTGCAGCTCTTCCTACAGCCCCCCTCAAATACCTACCTGAGCCCCAGAAGCACTAGTAGGGGACCTGAGAAGAGGAAGAACAGGGGCTGCTATTTGCAAAACCATTGCACAGAACAGGTAAGTATGTGTGTTTATTATTTTAAAGAGAAAAAAAGCCTTTAGAACCACTTTAAGTGCACAAAATGCTGTACTTTTTTTTTATCAATGCACATGAAAGCACTGCAGTGGTATAAACTAGGCTCATTGAAATAATTGTTTTTCTTGTGTATGTGTTCTAATTGCACATAAAAAAAACACATTCCATTGCATGTGGTGTAAATGAGTATACAGCAACAGCCAGGACAAGAGGTCAGCATAATCGGTAATTTTCTTAGTAAGGCCTCGCTCACACACATCATTTGCCTAGGCATGGAAACCAGGAAGCAACTGAAAACATGTAAAAAAAAAAAGTTTAAAAGAACTGAATATGATATACTTTCCTATCTATTTACTAATGCTAGCTGCATAAGACTTGAAAATAGTCAGTGTTGATTGAGAGAGTGAAATTCCACTATAGTGGCACTGTTTGTGGTAAAATGGTTTAATTGGCCTTGGAAACTCTTACAAAGTGATCTGTTACTGGACCCATAAGTGACTATTGTGGGGTAAATATTTCAAATAGACCGCGCTAAGGTCATACAATCAACTATATGCCAGTGTACAAATTAAAGTGATAACAATAGATAAAAAAACAAATAAAATATTGGGTTGCAGTCCCAGCATGTGAATTTAAGTGCAATGGTGTTGTATCTTTAATGGTGAACCACCGTACTGAGGTGACAAGTGCTTCACTGTGCTCACACTGGTGCCCCACATGGATGTAAAACTCACCGTCATCTCATGACCCCCTATCTTTAGGTTAGTCAAACGCTCTTTTTGGGACTATCCCAATATGCAATATGGTATTGTTGGCCGATAATTCTCTCACTCTCTTAACTGTGGTTGCTGGTGGTAACCAGTAACCCTCCACTAGGGCTGCATCAATAATAGAAAGCTCCTCTCCTCCACAGGCAGTAATTAATATTCTCAGCATAAAATAAAATAAAACAAAACCAGACATCCCATAGTGTAAAACCATAAAGAGCTTTAATAATGGGGTCAAGCAATAAAAATGCCCCTCACAAAAAAAGTGCCTTTCCTGGCACTAGGTGTATTCAGTCTTGTTATTATGAATGGGAGTTAAAATGGTTGCCGCGTTCCAGCGTGTGTTCCAAAACAGCGGAAGTGACATCGGCAAAAGTTGTGTCATAAGCCCTCTACGCGTTTCGACCAATAGATTGTCTTCAGGAAGTTGTGGCCATTTTAACTCCCATTCATAATAACAAGGCTGAATACACCTAGTGCCAGGAAAGGCACTTTTTATGTAAGGGTCATTTTTATTGTTTGACCCCATTATTAAAGCAATTTACGGTTTTACACAATGGGATGTCTGGTTTTGTTTTATTTATGCTGAGAGATTGAATTACTACCTGTGGAGGAGAGGAGCTTTCTATTATTGATGCAGCCCTAGTGGAGGGTTACCGGTTACCACCAGCAACCACGGTTAAGAGAGTGAAGGAATTACTGGCCAACAATACCATACTGCATACTGGGATAGTCCCAAAAAGCGCATTTGACTAACCTAAAGATAGGTGATCATGAGATGAGTTTACATCTATGTGGGGCACCAGTGTGAGCACAGTGAATCACTTGTCACCTCAGTATGGTGGTTCATCGTTAAGGATACAGCACCATTGCACTTAAATTCACATGTTGGGACTGAATACCAATATTTTATTTGTTTTTTGTCTATTGTTATCACTTTAATTTGTACACTGGCATTTAGTTGATTGTATGACCTTAGCGTGGTCTATCTGAAATATTTACGATTTTGTGTATAAGAGTTCACAATTAGGACTGCTGATGTATAGGTATTATATATATATAGTATATATTTTTTTATACATATTTTTCCTAAGCGCAACAGCACCCCCTTTTTCTTTATATTGTGAGGTAAAACTTATAATAGCCAATTCCAGCTATGTTGGATCTGCTGCTTTAAATCAATGATATTTGTATTGTGTGCAGCTTTAATATTGATTCTGAGTAAAGTTTATTTAAGAACTATCATTGAGCTTTCTTATGAAATAGCACTGTGCTAGGGTTAAAGGATTATGGCTTTGGGCCCATTTTGTCTACAACCGGCCTTACCAAGCTCTAGCTTCTGTGCAGCTGTTCTGTTGTAACTCCTCAAATACCTCCATACTGTGCGCACTGTCTTTTTGGACTTTGTATACTGGCAGCACTAAGCCTGTCACAGCTGCACTGTCCCCTATGGCAGCATCTGTTATAGCTTTCTCCACACCGTCTGCTCTCTTCCATTTCATTGTCTGTACTGTGCTCTGCTCCTGACTTTGCTCACTTCACCTCCATGACTTCATCTGCTTGGCACACAAATGGTGAATCTCCCATCAACTGCTAAACCAACTAAAATCACTGTATAATCAGTCATACCACCTATCACACTGCCTTATGTCAACGTATGTCAGCAATTAATGCAGAAACTTTGCCTAACATAAGTTATTAAAGATGCAAGCTTTTTGGAAAACCTAGATCCAGGGTTGGGACAAGGGGAGGGTAGGAGGGGCGGCTGCCCTGGGCACTGTGGTTTCATGTGAGGTGTGGAGGGGGGGGTGCTTAGAGCATTCCTGATGCTATAAGCTGACAGAAGAAGTGACAGCAGCATTACTACTCCTGTCAGCTTAGCACAGGAAGTGATAAGCGGAATCAGGAAATCAGAAGAGAGCCTGGAGGAGGTGTGGGCTGTGTTCTCTCTCCCCTCCAGCTCTCCTTTTGCCACTACAGTACTCCTGCATTGGAACTGTCAGATCAGGACTGTGTAGGGTTTCCTTACCTGCCCCATCTTCTTCCAGCAAAGAGGAAATGGGAGCTGGTAAGGAAACCCTGGGTGTCAAAGATTACAGTGTTCTTACAGTCTATAATCTGTCATTAAAGTGTTACTAAACCAATGAACATGCATTCACTTTATCTGGTCTTCCACAGCATACACACCATGGAAATGCAATTATTTTAGTAAATATAAACTGCTAAATACATTTTCTTATCAGCAGTATATAGCAGTCTTGTGATTTCTATCAGTGTTCGGCTGAACACTGGTTAATCTGGTAGGAGGAGTTTTCATTCTCCTCTGACTGTCCTATGAGGCTGCATGACCCTCTGTCTGGACAGTGCTGATTGGCCCTGTGCCGATCACATACACCCTTCCCCCCCAAAAAAAGCAACCTTTCTAGCCATACACACCAAACCTAGCATTAGCAGTGTGTCTCCTAGGAGTCTGTACTGTCAGCAGATGGATTGGGGACTGAGCAAGAAGGGGAGGATCAGAGAAGACAGGATCAAGCAACCTTTTTACACAATGTGTAATCTCCTAGATTGTAAGCTTGAAAGAGCAGGGCCCTCAATCCCCTCATGTTTTGCATTGTATTGGTATTGTTCTGTCACATGTTCTGTCCCCCTTTTGTAATGTACAGCGCTGAGCAAACTATTGGCGCTTTATAAATACTGTATAATAATGTGGAGGATTAACTCTTTAAGTTCCACAGTGAGTATACCAAGCATCCTTTACTGCTTATTCAGACTGTGTTTCCTGGGGTGGGTTTAATAACACTTTAACTGAAGACACTGTATATGTCCGCAAATGTCATAGTGACTGATGTCATTGTACAGAATCTCCTACTGATCATCACAGTGACTAATGTCATGATATATAATTTGTCCCCAACCAGAACACTGAGTAATGTGACCATGTATAAGGTGTCATACTGAAAAAAAGCCTCATTACTAACACATCAACTAATGTCAATGTCACCAACCAATTGAAGTATCTCCATTTGGGGACAGGAGATATTGTACCATTCATCTAGGGGGTACCTCTAGAAGCACTACATGTTCTTATGAGATGTACTACATTTTTCAAAGTCCATAAAAATTTAGAGAGCTACCCAATCAGATTTCCTTTCTACCAATTGCTGCTCTCTTATACGGTTCATGGACTTCAACAGAAATGTTGCAAGAACATTCTACACTCTTTAATGGGTCCATTTAAATGTATTTGTATTGTTTTATAATCTCCTGATTGCATTAGTGTGGCTATGTTTATAGTTCACTTTACAGTGATGATCCAATTTATACATTATATACATATTATACATTTTCCCCCTCTCAAAATGACCCTATTAATATGTGGGCACACATTTCATCATCATCTGTGCTGTGATAAAAATGTGCTATACAAGTATATTGGTTATTGTACATGAGTATTATATGCAGTGAATTAAAGTTACATAGACATGTAACAATGTTAACCTTGGGTAAAGGATACAGTGTTTTGCATGCTGTAATCATACCTTGTAACAATAAAACAAGTCAGAAAGCAATTTGTCTGTGCAGTTATAAAACTGTCCATTACCATGGTGATCTTAAAGGCTAAGTCTACTTTTTACCAAAAAAAAAAAAAAAAAAAAAGAAACATAGAAAAATGATGGCAGAAAAAAGACCGAGTGGTCCATTGAGTCTGCCCTTTATTTTTTTGTGTGAGTATAGATCTGTGTTTGTCCTAAGCATATTTGAAGGCATTTACTGTTGTCTGCCTCACTACTTCTACTGGACGTTTATTCCAACCATCAACTACTCTT